CTAACGGGTTATAAAACACTCCAATGACTTTTTTACTTTATAGTCATGAAAATGTGTGATTATATGCATATACTAACCTACCAAGAACTTTAGGGTTTTTTTCCATTTGAGTTGGCCCTCTCTTTTCTTTGCCAAATTAGCTAGATTTGAAGTTGAAATATGGTGATCACACATTTCTTTTTTTTCTTTTTTTTTTTTTTTTTTTTTTTGGGTGGAGAATTTGATTGATAGCCTAAGATCCCACGTGAAAGACTCTAATTTTTGGCAGACAAGGCCAATATAACACCACCTACCTTTCTTTATAGTATGGTATTAACTTATGAATTTTGATCAAAACATGTTTTAGATTGGTTGCAACTTGCCAACTTGCATTAATTTTGAGAGAGATACAAACGTGAGACTCTTAATTTGAGAGGGACGTTAATAGTTAGTACTAGTACTACAACTTGAATTAATTATAGAAGCTACAAAGACTGCCTTTTTATATTTGGGTGCACCATTTCACAAAATTATAAAAAGGAAAAAAAAAAGTACTACCTTTTAACATATAAATTTAGGCTCTATTTTTATCTGATTATTTTCAGTTCAGTTCAGCTAAGCTCTAATATGTTCAGTTCTTAATTTTTTTTCTCTCATAAAAATATCAATTAACTTAAGTTCAGTTCAGGTTAGTTCTAATAAGTTCAGTTCAGCTCATTTCAATCAATGAGAACAGGTCTTAGTCGCGACACTAGTGTTGTTGAAAGTACACAATACACACCAAAAACTAGATTACAAGTCAGAAAGAGTATTTCATGTATTTGCTTAAGATGAAGATAACGGGGCCTTACAATCTTTACCAAAATATGGTATTATCTCGTGTGACGTACCTTTTAAATTGACTAGTGATGGGAGTGAGATAGATTTGAAGCATGTAAAAATGGTAAAATGTTGATAGAGGGAGGGAAATTTATTAGGGTTGCTTTTCAAAGAAACCAATTGAAGACGATAAGCACGCAACTTGAGAACACCACTAATATTTTCTACCATTATTGTTGGTGTTGTTGCCGATATAATTATTATGTTGAATTTGGTTGTTATATGCCAGAGGAATATAATAGGAATTATAGGGATAATATACAACTTGAATAAAGGACCGTAAACATGCATACATTTGTTTTTTCCTCTTATAAAAACTCCTTTGACAGTTAGCATAATATGAGATCGAGATGCATATGACATTCAATACAGGTCAAACACGGAATGCAACAGTTTCAATCACCTGATAGTGTAACCAAAAGTGAAAGGAAAGGCAACAGTTTTGACGATTGAAATGGGGGGAATTAGAAGGAAGGTGAGTGGTGCTAATGCTTGAATACAGATGGGCAAAGAAGTAAAATCTGCGAGAACGGATAGCAAACCCAGAAAGGCAGTCAAAATAAGACATGGAACCAAATGGCTGATGCAGCTAAAAAATGCAACCATGGCATCAGAGCAGTAGAGCACATCACCTCCTGAGCTGAAGGGTGAGTAATATGAAACAGAGGTCGAAATCAAAATTTCAAAAGATTGGTATCAAGAAGGGTACAATCGGTATCATCAACCAATTAACTAATAATAATCGATGATATTTGAAAGAAAGTTTGATGTTAGGATGCCATCAAACAGGGCAAAGCTCTGCAAGAAGGCGCATGCTTATGTCTAAACGGTTATACAGCTAGTGCACTTGGGCAGCCCTTGCCAAGTTTCCAGTTGCCAGTATCACTATACTTCGAAGAAGATCATAATACAAAAACTCCAGGAGCATAGAAGAAAAAGTCAGTACTGGGAAAGCAACAAAGTACATACTTCAACCTAGCTTGCATACAGATTTTCCCTGCTTCCCTTACACACGAGATCTGTCATTGAAAGTGCAGTTCATTCAATAACTACCACTCAATCGACACCCCTATCCGCTCTCTAATCCCTTGAAATAATCATCCACGTATATAATCAAATATGTCAAAACAGAAGGTGATGATGCCTTCAATCAAACAATCAAGATTATACAAGATTTGATGCTTAAAGTTACAGAGAACTATAGGAATCAAAACACTTAACAGCATACACTCATTTCAGAAATTAGAGCAGAACATAACTTGAGCCCTAATAAACTTCAAGAATAACTATAAGTTTTGATAGATGGGCATGGAGAGAGAGCAGCAAGTAGATATGCAGGCTACAATTCTCATCTTTGCAAATACTCGTTTCTGATATCAATGGACTAAATGATATTGTTACCAATCAAATAGAACAATAAATAAAACTTGATCATTAATTTATTAAGGTAAAACTGAAAAGTAATTTAAACAATTCAAACTTGCTCAATGCTAACCAAGATCATACTCGTGAATATGTACCAATAAACATCAAAAATAACAGCAAAAATGCAGGTTTTACAAAATCTAAAAGCTCAAACATCCTTTAAGATAATTTCTAAGCCAATACTAGCAGCTTAACCTGACCCGCTCTCTTCTTCAGCCATAAAGAAAGGAGATGTTAGTAAGAAAAACGGAAACCAGGTTGTGAGAAAATGCTCCTGCAAGCTATCGTATAGATAATTTTCTCCTAAGGCCTAAATTCTTATCCAGCACAAACTTATACAGAAGAAGAGAAGGTATGGAAAATATCAAAATAGGTCATCCTGACTAAAGTCAAAGCTAGATAACTATCAAAAGCAATACAGTTTTTGCTCACATAAGTCAGATAATTCAAGAATGATAAACAGACTCCAACACTTCAGAATATGATAGCCTGGTAGATGATGAAGTCTGTTCAAGGTTACCATTATTTATTTTAAATTCAGGATATTTATAGAGAATGTCAAACGAGGGTCATTTGGCACAGAAATATTCCAAATCAGAGAAACGCTAGCACATGTTAGCACGTGAGACAATATAATCTTACGAATTCAAGATACACACTACAAAATTAAGACAGAATAACCATAATTAAGAAATGCTAAAATAATGTAGACTAAAAACATCACTTGGATGGTCAACTTGGGAGCTCAGTCAACATGGGTGCTAAGGTTGAACAAGAACTAAATAATTAGCTATAAATCTTTCTCAAACCTACTTTAAGCAAATAATTGGAAAATCCTGGGTACAACAATTTAATGGGAATACAAGGTAAGATGCCTAACTTGCAGGAACAAAATAATAATATCTAACGACAAGCATCATACTCCATACATTTCCTAAAATTTGTCCTTGTTGACTTTTCATAATAATACCTTTTGCATGACCAGTGCTTCAAATGCATAGATTATAAGATTATTGACAATTAGAAAACTCAAACTGAAACATGACAGGAAGTATCCACTGACAAGGTGTACCAATGTAATAATTCAAGGGCTAAATTAAGGGTCGTAATTAAGGAGAGCTCCAGAAATATATTAAAGTACTAAAGTCAAATATGTAACTAATCTTAATTACTTTAGAACCAATTCTTAGCATTAACGTCGAAGATCAAAGCATTAAACCAAAACAAAAAATGGCATTATGCTAATTCAAGTTACAGTTTCAATTCACTCTGCATGCTCTCTGATGCTTTAATTCTCAAATTCACATCACCCAATTCTTCTTTTCCTGAACTTTTTAAACCATTAGTTCAATATCATAGACACCAAGTCATTCAGATTAGGTCAGTAGTGGGTTCCAAAAAATATATCCTTCAGCTCTCAAAATCAAATCACAGACAATAAATTCAATGTAATATCTTGCTCTATTCCCTGTTCTATTAAAATATCATCTCGTGTTCACTGCAAAGTTAAGTCATTGATGTTAAGTTCATTATAATATCTTCCAAAGAGACTCTCTGATGTGTCATCTCCACACACATAATACGTTATTTTCCCCACTTGCAGCGTTACAGGTTCCATTGTTGTATTTTTTCCCCCAATGAAATTAGGTTATTAAAACATGACTTCAGTCCCAAGAATCCTTAGTGATATAGTCTGAAAACTGCTTCACTATGTATAAATCACCTAAAATTCCTTTGCTTTATATTGTTATAGACATAAACCAACATATAGTTAACAGAATACTTGTATTCTATTCTTATCCTTATCCTACAGGGTTACAGCTTTCCCATCAATTCTAGTTGACAACTACTTAACACTGACTTAAGTATATATGATGATTTTTTCAAAAAAAAAAAAAGTATATATGATGATGATAAGTAGAATATCTCAGAATAACAGTCATCCTTAAGCTTCTTTTGATCTCTGTAGCCTCAAATTACTAATTATCTACTTCACAAAACCAATAATTATCACGCCTTGCATAACCACCATTGACGAAAGTAAAGTTACCACAGATCTCCAACAACACAAGATTGTCATTAAATGCATTAACAAAAATATTTAAGTCCATTGATACCTAGGCAATGATGTATTAACATACCATATACCCAACATCACTCACAGCACCCCAATTATCAATTCTATCAGCTAATTTTTGTAGCATACTTCTCTACAAGCCACTGACCTTTTTATGCCTGTACTTTTTTTAAGATGACTCCAAAGCTCTGCAAAAAGAATTACATTGATCTTTACACTAAAGAGTAGACAAACTCCGCACCAAGCAATTGTTCAATGAAGGCCAATTAGCTCCTTATCCGAAAATATTAATTATTGCAGGAAGGCTACTTAGTACACCAACGTCACGATGCCATAACAAGCTCTTGAAAACAATACCGGCAAACCCAGAGACAATATGGAAACATTTCTAATCTATGGAGCTTTAAACACAGCAAATATAATGACCAGCATGCTCACAGCTCTCAATTCTGAGAAGGAAATGCAAATGCAAAAGGAACATACAAGTATCAGAGATGATCTACCTACCCAATAAGGGAAAACAAAGGAATATATTGAGCAGCATGCTCATGGCTCTCAATTCTGAGATGTAATATGTAAAGGAAATGCAAATGCAAAAGGAACATACAAGTATCATAGATGATCTACCTACCCAACAAGGGAAAACAAAATAATCAGATTGCATATTGCAAATTTCAAACAAAACATCACAAATGAAACCCCAAAAAAACATGTATATTAGATTCTATAAGCACTGAATTAGCTTTACAGAAGCAATAGACACCATTATGCCTAAGCAACTGGTAAAGAGCTGAAATTGCTTATTGTTCTACATGATATTAATACGAAAAACAAGTTACCTAATAAAATAAACCAAAAAAATAAAAAATAAAAAAAAATAAAAAATAAAAAAAAACAATGAAGGTATGCTAAGTTGTTGACTAGTTTGCTTACATAGTATACTGTTGAGACGTTATATGCCAGCTTGTTTGGGTGGTTATCTTGCCTCTTCCTCTTGAGATTTGTGTGATCATACCAGAGCAACAAGAAGAGGGCTTCTTTGCCAGAGAACCAACAACTAACAGCTGATATTCACTTCTCTCATGTTCACAATAATCAGTATGGACAAAGGGCCACGGAAAAGCTATAATTTCCACTGAACAACTAAGATCAGATTGTACAGATCATTTCAATGCACAACATACAAATGAATCCTACAATGAAGGATATGTGCCTGCCATCTAAACAATCATGCCACAGCCATCTAACAAGTCATTCACAATTTCTAAAAGCTAGGATCCCTCCATCTTGGGCTTGACATGGGGAAAAGGCCAGAAGGTGATACAGGAAATGCATATCCTGGAGAAAGGGGTGGCTGAGGGCCTGGACCCAAAATCCCAGATTGACCAAATGGTGAAAATGCAAAGTTTGGACTCAATGGCGGTGGAAACTGACTACCAGGTGAAAGGAGAGGATATGGAGACCTCGGTGTTGGAGACATGTTAAAGAATCCATTTGGTGAAGGCAACAAGAACTGGGAAGTTGGTGATGGCAAAAGGGCAGGACCATTTGATCCCGGTGAAGGAAATGGTGGACCTGGTGGCATGTTCGGGTTAGGAAGCAAACCGGGAGATGGTGGTTGCTGTGCCTGAACATGCCCAGGAACTTGTTGATGCATAGGGTGTTGTGCTTGACCTTGAAAATGCCCAGGACCTTGTTGTGGATACGCCTGAGGTTGACTTTGGATATGCCTTGGAGCTTGTGGCTGCATCTGAGGTTGAGTTTGATATTGTCCTGGCATCTGCGGTTGCTGTTGGAATTGATTCGGTCTAGAGCCACCATCACCGATACAACTTTGTAGCTGCTGCATATAGGCTGATATAGGAGAGAGTGCTGGATTTCCCCAAGCTGCATCACCAGGAGCAAATGGCTGCATCCCTCTAGGGGAGCGCTGACCAAATTGAGGTGGTGGTCGATTATTGAATGGGACTTGAGGTGGTGCCATATGATGACCTTGAGGCGGAGGTTGCATTTGCATAGAAGCCGGAGCTGCCACCACTGGCGGCATTGGAGGGCGATTAATAGGATTCAATGGTGGAGGTCTAATGCGCTGAAGCCTCATACTCGGGTGCTTAGGGGGGTTATTAGGCGGCCTTGGCAAAGGATCTTGCCGTGAAGGCGACCCTGTCAACTGCTGAACTATACTCCTGAAATCACTCTTGCTAATGTTATACACCTGGGGTTGTGGTTGCTGCCTTGCTGTGTTGTTGTTGTTGTTACCATTATTATTAGTAGTACCACTATTAACAAAATTAGGCTGGTGCAATGGACTCTTCCTAATGTTCTTCCCAATCTTGTTCACACCCAAGTAATCATTTGGTTGATTTTTCGACATATTCGAATTATCCATCCACAAACTCTTTAACCAAATTCAGCCACAACAATATGAACCTCAAACTAATTCTTTCACTACTTTTCACACATAGTCAACTGTTCCACAATCCCCACAAAATTGAGTCCTAATCCCAATAATCCCACAAAAACTCCAAGCATATAACCAATAAAAACAGGGTAAAAACTGAATTACAGAAAGCCAGAAATCATACCCTTTTCCTGCAATCACATGAATTTACAGCACCAGATCTCTTCTGAAACAAAACCCTGAAAATGGGTCACTGTTAAAACAAAGAGTAAACAAGCAATTAACTTTACCCCACCAAAATGCAAAGCCAATCAAACCCAGAAGCATCAACCCCACAAAATTCCAGCTTTTAGACTATTAAATTGGAGATTACTACAAATAGCTGTGGCTTGAAATTGAAGTATAAGGCGACTAGAAATGTTTTCCTCTTTGTAGAAAAACCCCAGAAATACACTTTTTTTTCTCCTTCCAAAATCTTCGTCAAAACACTAGCGTTCACACGAAAATTGGGAATTTCAGGGAAGATCGAAATTGAATAGCAAAAATTGGAAAACCCTAGAAAAGAATTTCTTTTGTATTTTGCAAAAAACAGGAAAGTTGAATCGAGGGTAACGTATCTAGTAGGAGGAGAGAGAAGCAGGGAAGTGGGTCAATAACGAAATGAAAGTGATTTTCTGGGAATAAATTATACAACAAAATTAGGAAATTATTTGTAGGAAATTATAAAAATCCAGGGGAATTATTTGAGTAGTCGAGATGGGAATGTGGGCAAACTTTCAAAAACCGAAGGTTGCGGGGTCATTTGGTCCCACTATATGGAATAATTATGAAATACGGATTAACAAAATATATGGATTATAATATAAATTAAACGATTGTTTTGTTAATACTCCATAGAAAGATATTGTACGTCGTTTGCAGGGCTACATATAAAAAGCTACTGAGTAAAAAAAAATTTAAAAAAATAAAAATATAGCATTAATTATAATGATTTGTGCATTCGTACAAATCTAAATTAATACCAAATTAGAAAATATATTAAATTTGGCCTCAAAAAAAATATATATATTAAATGGCTATTCAAATATATATATATATATATATATATATATATATATATATGTTTATTAACCTTAAGGGTTGCATTAGCATTACCCTAATTAATACTCCCTCCGTCCCTAAATTACATTCCTATTATTTAGGGACGGAAGGAGTATATAGTTATATACGAGTTATTTATATGGTACAATAAAAAATAAAGGTTGTAAAATGTTATTCATAAAGGAAGTACTTGAGTATCATGTGAAGTTGTGAACGGTAGAGTTGTTTAGTTGACCAAAATATAAGAATTGTCTTTCCAATAAAATTTGATTTCCATAAATAATGGAGGAAGTAACATATATTTTTTTATGGGAATTTGAGAATTAATCCTTATAGTTACGGAGTATCATATAAACCAAGGAAATGAATCTCATGTGATCATTAGGACTTTTTTTTTAACGCACACAACTAAATTAGGACTTGATCAACTTTCAAAAAAATAAAAATAGGACTTGATCACATGTTTTATACGGAGTATCAATTTTTTTTTAAGTAAGTTATAATTTGAAATTTTGACTATCGCCATTTGTGTTACGGGGTAACGTTCATCCTTAATTTAAAAATTGACAATAAGAAATTACAGATGCACTTTCTAATTTTTATAATATTACTTTTAAAATTAAAAATCAATAATAAATTAAAATTTGAACACATGTTCTATTAAAAAAAAAAAAAAAAAATTGAACACATGTGCTCATACAACAACGAGGAAGAGCATTGGAGGAAGGAGTCAAAGTTCAACAAGCAAAGATTATTCTTTGAAACTTGATGTAATCCAAATTATCCAATTTGCATATGTAAAAGAAAGGAGAGTAAAACGGTTGAATAATGAATCAGTCAAATGTCACATTTGACTAGTGAAGTGTTATTTGGATTTTGCTCAAAAACCTTCCTAAATGATTTTACTTTTTATCTTCACTTTATACACTCCGTTGATATGTTTTCCTTTTTCTTTTTTAGAAATAAATAAATTTATTCCTTTTTTTTTTTTACCAAAATTCCACTTTTATCACTTCTTATCTAGTTACCCTATCTCATGCTACCTATTTTTTTGTAGTTGACGTGTTTTGACTTTAGTACTATTCACATACTTATCTTTAACAGTATTTTGTTATTTATAGATACGTCACATAATACATTTTCAAATATCAACTTTTTTTATATAATTTTTACTTATCGGTAATTAAAGATATAAACGGTTGAATTTGTGCATTATCAACCGTGACTAAAGAAACATGTCAACTAAAAAGAAATGGAAAAAGTAAAAATTTTAATTTATATAATAATACTATGTATCAATGTTTTTAAACAACTTTCCCTCTACTACCTAAAAACCAAAAAAAAAAATTATTTTTCACTTAACACTTGATTATATTACTATATGAATAACTAATGGAAAGATTTTAAAAAAAAAAAAACTCTTTCTTTCTTTCTCACTCAATACTTCACTCCTCTATTCATTTTTCTATGAAATTAATCGAATAAATTGCAATTCACTTCTTCAAAGCAAAATTAATGAACAACTATTACTGTTGTTGCAACATGACAACGATTCCACGAAGAAAGATATGTTGTTCATCTTAATTTAGGGGATTTCAATTGAAGTCAGCTAAGGGTTTTTTATTGTTAATTTGGGGATGAAATCACTGTATTTCAAATTAGGGTTTTGCGATTCAAATTAAGGATAAGGGTGTTCAATTGGTGAATTAATTAACAACAATTTGTGAATTATGACCCATTTCTCTAACTTACAAGTAGTTATAGCTAAGTAAAGGTTTGATTTTGTGCAGACACGATTTCACATCTGCAAGTGTGGATATCCGATTTCCCAATCTCACTTCATGGACTAAGCAGAATCCTGGGAGAAGATTTCAAGCTTGTCAATTTTACGAGCAAAACACTAATAGCAAGGGTTGTGACTATTTCAAATGGGTGGACATTGAAATGACTAAATGGCGAAAGGATGCAACTAATTCATTGATGGTTGATGTGAACATGCAAAAGATTGAGTTAAGGATGGTGAAGAAGGAATTGGCTGAAAGCTAAAAAAGGTTGCCTTGAACTTGAGAATGAAGCACTAAAAGATCAAGTGACAGTAATGAAAAAGCATGGAGTCATGCTCCTTGTATTTTGTTGTCTGCTAGTGTTTGTGGTGGTTAATGTTATTATGTTTAGGTAGTTCAGATAGTTTAGGTTAGTTTAGAGGTTGGTGAAACCTTGTTGGTGATTTACTTTTGTTGAATTAGCTAAGAATGAAGCAATATGTTGCCTAGAATCAAGTGTGATGTCTTGAATGAACACAAATGTACCTTTTTGGATCCTTTAATGAAGAAATGACACTTTTATCTACTTTTTGTGCAAAGTCTAATGTTTTACATTGTCACTCCAACATAACACAAAGAATTTGGACATAAAATCCATAATTAGCACTTTCATTAATCATGTTTATCTACTCATGTCATCATTTACAACAAAATATCATTCCCAAAAGCTGACCATAGTTAAAAATAAAAAAAAAAAAGCAAACACCAGCTGTTTTTACCATCCACCCCAAAAAATACAGACCACATAATTAATCAACTTGTTCATACACACACTGCTACTACTTATAAAGGCTACCTACAACCTTTGTTTTTCCCTTTCTAATAGGGAGCTTCTCCCGACCCTAGCCTTGCCTGGTGTTTGTTGCAGCTGTGGAGGTTGGTTCAACGATGTCGTTTTTCACACAATTGTACTCTCCTATATGATTGGAATGAGGTACAAATTTGGGAAATTTTACAACTTTTTTGACCAAGAATTAGGAGGGAGAGAGAGAGAGAGAGAGAGAGAGAGAGAAAGAGAGAGAGAGAGAGGAGAAGTGACGCAGTAGAGTTAATTTTCTGAAAAAATTAGGTGGGTGAGGTTGAATTAATGCCATTAATGGCGAAGGAGAGAGACGGGAGAGAAATACGAGTGAGAAAAAAGGAATGGGAGGGAAAAAGGGAGGGAAGATTTTTTGTGGGGCACTTAGACGTCATAAAGTGGTTGAGAGCCAATTAGGTGGGAACTTTGGGTGTTTTAAAAAATAGTTGGCGGTAATTTTTTAAAAAAATTAAAAAATTGTAGGTTGTAATTGCTAAAATGAAAACAATAGTATGGGGTAATTGTCAAAATTTTCATAATCAAACATATGCAAATATATACTACCTCCGTTTTTATTTAGTTGACACGTTTTGACTTTAGCACTATTCACACACCTCTTTTTGACAGTGTTTTGTGCTTTATACGTAATGAAAAATATAGTCATGTGATATCTTGTTAGATTCGTCACGTTATATACTTTCAAAATATCAAATTTTCATAATTTTTGCTTATTGATAATTAAATATATTAATGATTGAATAAGTGCATTGACAAACATGACTAAATAAACGTGTTAACTAAAAAAAACGGAGGAAGTAATTGATTAAAGTCATGCAATAACAACTATAAAGACAACAAAAGTTAAATTAATACGTACATCCTCAATCACATTCTTATTGCACCATGGATTCACTTTTTGTAAGAATTTTTTGGGTCAATGGAGTAAATAATACGAGATAAGCTAAAATACAGTCCCTGAACTATGGCATTAGTTGCATATTTGGTCCCTCATCTTTCAAATGAGGCAAATTGGTCCCTCTACCACTTTTGTCTCACCATTTCTGGTGGAGGAACTTATGAGTCAGCAAAGTTTGGGGATGTGTACTGTCAACTAAGAAAAAGTTAAGGGACTTATCCTAGTTAGCATTTGTTTAAGGATTACAAATCATTTTTTTTTTGTCAGCTACTAATTAATATTTATTATTTATTATGTACAAACTTTGATTAAAATGAAAGAAAACATACCCAATTTTTTTGCTTTTTTAAAAATTAAATGACTATTTTTTTTAAAAAAATATGACTTAGAGAATTAAAGAAGAAAATTAAATATGACTTAAAAAATTAAATACTTTGACTTTCTTTCAAAAAAAAAAAATTAAATAATTCGAATTAAAGAAATAGGAAAAGAAAAAAAAAAAGAAAAAAAAGGGTCGGCCCTATCTTCTTCACTTTCGGTTTGGCTGCTCTAATGGGAAATAATCCCCTACTTTGCACCTCATTAACGATCATCATCAATCACCATCTTTTAATCCCAGCCTTTGATTTATTTTGTGATTTAATCTTGGCCTCCTGATTTAATTAATTCTGTACAAGCTCATGCATAATATAGTTCAGTCGAACCAGAGGTTTGGGTTGCGTGGTTGATTAATGACGGTGGTGAGGCTGCAGGCGGGTGGAAATGGGGTTATGTGTTTGTGGCTGGTTGTTGGTGATGTGGGGGTGAGAAAAGGTGGAAAATCCTATAGTTTTTTTCTATTTTTTTTTTTTTTTGGAAATTCTATAGTTTGATTAATGCAAATCATAACCAAAATATTAATGTTGATGGAAAAAAAATTAATGTTAGTTAAAAGATTCCCTTTTAAAAAAAAACTGACAAAAAAATTAAAAAATAAAATTAATTAATCATGGTCCCTAAACTTTTGCTAACTAGGATAGGTCCCTAAACTTTTTTTAAAATATTTTTTTTTTGCCACATGGCCACATGGGCACTTTGGAAACTTTGGTGACTCATCTTTTTCCACCGGAAAAGTAAGTTATGGGTGGTTGAGGGATCAATTTGCTTCGTTTGAAAGATGAGGGACCTAAATGCTACAAATACTAAAGTTGAGGGACCGTACTTTAGCTTAACTCTAAATAATACAGTATGGGACGGAAGAGTAAAGACCAAATACGGTCCCTAAAATTTGGTATAAGTTTGATTTAGGTCCCTCAACTTTCAAAAGTTTGATTTTGGTCCCTCCACCACCAATGACTCATCAATTGTGGTGGCTATAAGAATGAGTCAGCAAAGTTTAAGGACCTTGCTATTATTTAATTGCTGACTGGACCATAGTTTAGGGACTTCGGAATTTTTTAATGATTTTTCGTGCTGATTATACAATTCATGTCACATATAAGAACAAATAAAAGGTAGTTAAAAGTTTAGAGAGTTTGCAATTAATGTTTGAGGAATGTTTGCACAGCAAAAACAACTGAATTCCAAAATAGACTTCAAAAACTAGTCGTTACAAGTTCAAATGGCTATTTAAAGCAACTAATCTTCATAATAGAAGGGAGAACTCAAACCAAATAAAAAAAAATTATCTTCAGCAAACAGAGTAAAAAAAAAAATCACCAAACCCTAACTCATACATGTTAAACAAAACAGAGTAAAAAACGAGTGATAATGACAACAATTTCCAAATTAGAGGATGGCATTACCTTCAGCAGATGATACTTTCGCAAGCTTGAACTCTTTTTGCTCCCTTGTTTCGCCAAATTCCCAACCCGACATCAGCAACAATGGCGTAATACAATTTTGTGATGAAAAGTACTTTTATGGGCTTCTAATTTCTAAAGGAATAAATGAAGCCTTCTGATTATATCACCTAAGTTAATACCCATTTTGGGGAAAAATGGACTGCCAAGGTCCCTAAACTTTCACCAATATTAATAAAAAATGCCACGTCATATGGGCAAGGTCCCTAAATTTTTCCCTTCATTTGACAACTCAGCAATTTTGTCCCTAAACTTTGTCTAGTCATTAATTATTTTGCCAGAATAAGTCTTTAGTGGTGGTGGAGGGACCAAAATCAGACTTTTGAAAGTTGAGGGACCTAAATCAAACTTATACCAAAGTTAAGGGACCGTAATTTTACTTTACTCTGGGACGAAAGGAATAATACAAAGTATTTAATGGATAGTAAAATACGTACTGTATTAAATATTGTTTTTTTTTTTTAAAAAAAAAGGAAAAAGATACGGATTAAATGTCTAAACTCAAAGTTGGTCATACAAAAAACACTTTATGAGTTTCTCGTTTCTCGTTTGTGTAAGAAGGCTGCAACACCAATCTAGGAAGCAGTCGCTAGAACCCTTAAAACTACTCCAAAAGTCCAAATCTTTCCTGTCAATCAGTCTATAATCCTGTGACCTGCAAATGGTAAGTATCTTAGTATCCCAATCTTTACTTAATTTTTTTTTATTGACTTATCTTTTGATTTGTAATTTTTCATTAATGGGTTCGAATTAATTATTGATCATTTCCTTAATTACTTCTTGTAATTTATCATGTTTTCCTTATTGTTCATTTGAAACCCAGTGATTCTAGATTTTCCAGAGTTAAAATTTGATTTACCCATTATTTAATTCATGTCTTAGTTTGAGAAAGCTGGCTTTTTTATTTCATTTATTTTTTGTTTGATTGTTTTTGGTAGATCATGTAGTTCTTTAAGGATTTTGTGATGCCTTTCCCAGAAATTCTTTTACAAGGGAAAGCTGGTTGGCTAGTTTGCATTTGGAAAATGGATTTGGAAGGTGGGTTGAAAACAAAAATTGATGGTTTGTGTTTATTATGAAGTGTTTATGAAGAGTAATAGCTAGTTTAGTAGTATTTTGCAGTGTGGTTATTGTTGGTAAAGTTATCTGTATTTGGTACCTTTACTAGGTACTCCGTATTGTTTTGTTGATATCGAAGGCGTAGTAGCTTTGTGTCAATGTGTTGGTTGGTTTGGATTAATTCATGTGGGAGAGTCTCAGGAAGTCAGGATGGTATTGATAAATTCTATCAAATTTGACAAGTTTTGGGTAGTTATATGTGTTATGGGAACTATAATAGGAAAGGAAAACAATGGTTCACTTGTAAATTGAGCTATTTGAAAATTCTAGATTAATGGAGGACAGTTTTTTTGGTGGATATTGAATCCAAATCACCCAATAAATCAATTTCTAGATATCGTATTGGGCTATTGATTTTGTGCTTTGAAAAGGTTCATTAGTGCGATTGTGAGATACTTAGATTCTACACAGTGGTTTGTTGTAGATTCTTTTATCTAATTTTGTGAGTCATAAGAAAAAAAATGCAGAAGAATTTAGACATATAGTGCTGACCCTAAGAGCAAAATTTCGAACCTAATTGGCACTTGTTTCAAACTTCCACACTACTAAAAGGGTATTGCCATTTATACCCCATCATTTATGTAATTGAAGAATTTGTTTTTGTGTTTGAACTAGAGGCTGCAAAATTGTAAAAGGATATAATTGTCGATTACAGACATGTATCAACCGTATCTGAAGTCTGAACTGCTGCGAAGTGTTTGTTCCGTCACCAGACTGACCAGAGTTGCTATTTTGCCATTTTCTCCCACAATAGATGCAGCGCCCCCCCCCCCCCCCCCCCCCCTTTCTCTAATTCTTGTGCTTTTTGAAACTCAATAGGTTTAGTTTGACTAAAATCAATTTCTTGGCTTATGACCCTCTTTTGCTTGAAGCCTTGAATATAAAGTCTTTTGTTTTACATACAAACTGCTTTTTTGCACAAAGTACTTTTATCTTCCAAATCCGGTTTTATATTGGACTCCCATCTCTAAATTCGTTATTTGATCTTGAAGAAAGAACAGCAAAGAGGTTTAAGGGACAGAACAAAATCATGAACTCATGAAGCACTGAAAAATTTAGGTTTAAAGGACCTATCAGCCATCACCCTCTCTCTCTTGGGGCTAGGGGAGGCTTGGAAGGGTTAGGCTATTGTGGAGGCAAAGGTCATTTGTGTTAACACGGGTATGAATTGAGTACTCAGTATCCACATAATCATGAAGAGCTCTCTACACCTAAGATAGGTGACTCATATAAGATCTCTAGATGTTGCCTATATGATAGCTCACCTTTTTCTTGGGCCCTTCATTGTATCGCTCTAATGAGTCTAATCCATCTTGATGGAGGCAAATTAGAGGTGAGAATGATCCTAGTTCCCCCCCCCCCCTCTAAATTGAAATAGGGCCCTTTCATGTACCAAGGAGTCTGTATATGAGAGGGGTGATGGGCAATTGGGGGCAAATTAGAGGTGAGGATGATCCTGATCCCTCTTTTTTAGTCAAAAACGTAAACTCTCTGGATTTAGAGTTTCCAAGTGGTGTCCAAATGCTTACCAAGCAACAGCAGTGCATTAAGGAGGGATGTCATTGAGAAGCTGGGATGAGTGGTTTTAGTAGAGGGCTAAGGTCTATTTGAGGTGGAATGAAACCTTTTTTTTTTGACAGAGAGGTGGAATGAAACTTCCATAGTCCTGTGTCAACAAATTGAACTGGGCCATCTGTCAAAGGGGACTGTACGTATAACCTTGAAAGATCTGGTCATAACCTTCATTACCCAGTTATTGTAGATGGCTTTAGTGGATAGATTATTCATTACCCAGAGCTAAAGGAAACAGATATAAAAAGGTCTCTGAAGTAGGATGTTTCTATCAATCATCTTTATCTCATAGTCCCTTAGCTTTGGGACATAGGAAGAAAAGTAGAGGAGCCCTACGGGAGACTTTCCCTAGCAAGAGTAAATTTATTTACTGTTCATTTTCTAGGAAGCTAACCAGAAAACATATTGGCTTTTGGGGACCTAGTTGGGACCTTTCAAAACGTAAGATAGACTGTTTCCATTTCACACATCCTTGAGACCTTGACCAATTCTTTTCTCATGATTTTTCTGAATTTGTATCTTTGTAGTGTATAAAAGAACGTCTGAAACCTTGAATTTATGAATGGGGCTAGTCAAGATGGAACTTAGAATTCAAAGATGAGGGAAGTTAGTGGAATTTGAGTTCCATCTTAAGTCATTGAGGCAGTGTGTAAACTCCATTGGCCAGTATCATCCATCAATTTTTGTACTAGTATATGATTATGGATAATTTATTATGGCGTTGTTTTACTTGTCTATTCGACTGAAACAGAGGTCATGCCCAGACAGTTCTCTGAAGGCACCTATTTCATTCATTCCTCATCCTTTTCCAAGCTTGGGATCTCTTAACTCTTAATGTTTGAGGTATCGGCAAGACAGGGTAACATTTTGTTGACAGATAACTGGGACTCAGAAGCTATTTAATTTCATTTTCAGACCTCTAAATTAAGAGGGGCAGAAGCTATGATCACAATTGCTGTATGATTTACAAGACCTGCCATTATCACAAGCTTATCCTTGATGATTCTGGCATCCTGGATATTGTTATATGTTTTTTTTTTTTTTTTTTTTTTTTTTTGGGGGGGGGGGGGGGGGTGGTTAATAAAAGTAAAGAAAGGGCTACTCACCTCCTCTTAGAATCTTGTTCACATCTTTCACCCCTAATTTGAGAAAAACAAAATTGTAGATGATTGCTTAAGAAACTGCACAACTTGTAGAATCTTGTTCACATCTTCCATTTAGAAATATTTCATTTTGGAGTCTCCACTTTGTTTTCTTTGGACTGATTGTTTAGGAAACTGCACAACTCTGTTTCTGAGTTGCTTTTGTCTTCGTTATATCTTTATTTACCCTGATGCAAGCTAAGCAGATAGGGCGCTTCTTAGGGAATTTATGATTAGTTGCAAGGTTCCAAACCTAACCTTTGTGAGTTTTGTGTTTCTGTATTATTTATTAGCATTGTTGCATCAACCATAAAATTTGATTGATTGATCATGCAAAGAAAGATATCAGTATCAGTAAGTATTAAAATATTAGTGTTTGCTATCTGATATTAAAGCTTGCTGGACTAAGTACTATTATGCAAAGCCTGTTGGACCTGCTAACCTGAAAAGAACTTTCTGTTTACTGTTAGCATGAGACTCTTTACCATTCTATTTTCATAGTGCTTCCTTTACTTTGAAGTTGACTTTTTTTTAATGTGTTTTTGCCTGTCTAGACGTCTAGTAACTATCTCATGTGGCTGTGAATGTATTGACCAGGAATGTGAAATGAATTAATGGCTATTTTTGGTGCTCAAGAGTTTTGCTTTAATAATGTATACTGGATTTTCCCTTTGTCAAGTTTGAGCAACTTTAAGAGTTATCCTTGCAAACATCTCCAAGCTGGAAACTTAAAATTTCTCTTTGTTTGACATACTGTATTCTTGATTGTTTTCCACTTTTCAGGCTAGTATGTAGAGATCGCCTTTATTTGACGTGAAACTGTATATTCTAAGGGTAGGGACCTGGAGCAAGATATTGCTGCATTTTGCGTAGTTGATGGTTGAGAAAGATAGGATGCCTTGATAACATTGATGTCTAACAATACCGTAGAAGAGTGAAATAGTTCACTTCTTCACTGACATCTAATTTCACGTCAGAGTGGTAGCCCCGTAATTAGTCTCAACAAATTTTACATACAGAGAAACTGAGTTTAGAAGCAGACAAAGGGTGCTCCATTTAAATACAACACAATCATAAGACAATGGAGCCGTTGATAAGTAGTAACCTTGTTATCAGTCTCTGCAAGTTTCACATATAGAAATTCTGAGCTGTGGGAAGCAGACGCAAGGGAACCCTACTAAATACGGGATAATAGAGATACAATGGACATTTCTGATAGTAATAGTAGCAAAATCCTCAATGATGTCATGAATCGCCGGCTGAAGAACAGAGAACGACAGCGTAGATACAGGGAACGGAAACGTCTCCAAGGAAATGCCAGGAATGGGCATGTCACTGACCAGTCATCCCAGATGCAAATTGTATCGCTGCCAGATGCAAATGGGCCTGACAGGAATGGGAATGTGGAACAAGTTGTAACCCGTGTTCATTGTAGACGAGATTGGAAAAAGGATGCGAGGAGAGTCCATGTTGCCATACCAGAAGCCATGTTCAATGGATTACTTCCCAATGGTCAGTCTTTAGCCACTGAAAATAACACGCCACATGCTCCTTGGGGAATGCGGGAATCAGAACAAGCTCTGAAAAGTGAAGATTCTTCAGAAAGCTATCCCCGCTTGTATGATAGTGATAAAAGTAGAAGTAGACCCGGAAGAAGAGATTGGAAAGCAGAGGCAAGAAATAAGAAATAAATAGGTAGTTCCTCGCATAATATTGTTTTTGATTTTTTGTATTTTTTTTTCCGCATTTGTTTTTGTTGTTTCATTACTTTCATATATACTTAATCAGTATTTTAATGCAGATTCATTGCAGTAATTATCCAATTTGTTCAGCTGCTTGGTAATTTCTGAAAGGAATAGTCTCTCTACAAATCAGGTCAGTCAATGGGTGATCAGAGAAACTTGATTATTTGAATTGGAAAGCCTTTAAATAGCCAAAATGACAAGTCTTATGATTTATAGATATGATATATGCCAATCTTGCATAATCAACTTAGTAACAAGCTGTTTGTAGGCTGCTCGTCTTTCTTGTACCTGAGCATTAGTGCTCCTAGCATCTTTTTATAGTTATTTGCTAAAACTCATTGTAAACAAAGATTCTTTTAACATTCTTATACATGATGAAAATCTTTATTTTAGGGTTAGCCTGAAAAGTTGTGATGAATATATCATACACATCTTTTTATTGAAGGCAATTGACATGAAATTGATGCTTTAGTATGTAATGTGGAATATGTACATATTTTCAAGGAATGAATCCTGGAAATTATATACATTTTCGTAAGTTCAAGTCTATGAAATCAGCCAGTTTTGGCTATTCAATGGTTAAAAATACATATATTATGCTCATGCATCATCTTACAATTTGGATAATGTTGGTTTTCCTTGAAAATGTGAATATACATATATATATATACATATATATATATATATATATATATATATATATATATATATATATATATATATATATACATATATATATATATATATATACATATATATATACATATATATATATATATATATATATATATATATATATACATATATATATACATATATATATATATATATATATATATATATATATATATATATATATATATATATATATATATTAGCCCTTCCTTTTCCCCCTTTTTTTATTTTTTTTATTTTTTTTTAATATAGTTTAAAGATAACTCTACCAAATGAATTTACATATAGTCAATAATGGAAACCCATATTGAATCTCTTCACCTCCACAGCCATTGCAAAACAGCATATATCATAACTTAGCTCTCATATTGGCATTCAGGACCTTCATTGGTTCTCAAACTTGCAACATCACACCGCATTCACCATTCCTAGCTTTAGAGATAGCGCACTTCTGTGTATACAGATCCAAACTTCATGTTTCCAAAAAACATAAAAGATGTCAGGGCTAGTTTGGTTTGAGTGGTCCTCGTGAGCCATAATTAACATTTGTCAAACTAGAAATATAACCTCTCCCGTGCAGCTAACTTTGTACTGTTGTTGCAAAATAAGGCATGTACGGTTGCTGCCCTTCAGTGTAGTTGTCCTTCATATATGTACTCGTATTTTTTTCCCATCTTGAACAGCCACCAACCCGAACAAACTTTTGTTAGTATACAGTATTAAACTGCAGGCCTATAAATTTTGCATGGTCCACAATTTAGGTGTATGCAGCTTAGTCCTGACCAATTGGGCGCCTCATTGCAACTATAGTTTCCGGCATCAACTTCTGTTATATATGTACACCAGGCTAGAGCTTTGATGAATTTCTCACTTCTCTGACTACCAGTTGGGATATATTGTGAGCGTCCAGCGCCTAGAGTGTAGTAGTTTGTTGGGTTGTGAAGAAGACTATCAAAACAACCAGGCTTAAAGCTTTCAAAGAACTGATCTTTAGTAAGTGATTAAAGCCACTCCTTTAGTGAGGGTGTCAGCAATCTTATCAGTTTTATGGGGGTTTTTGATGATTACTTTCTATCATGCAACACTGCATAATTAGAAAGTGCTTTAACTCATTATGAACAGCTTGACTTATTAGCTGCTCTAATAGGCAGAATAACTTTGGTTTTCCTGGTTCTGTCTTGATCTATTAATATAGCAAGCCTTCCTTAATCCGGCAGACATCTGGACTCTGGAGTCCCTAAGATGAAAAGTAGTTACAGTATAGCCCGGAAAAGAGGGCTGTGTTGACTTGCCAACAATCGAGGAGGCGATGACTGGGTGTTATGTGTTGCTGATGTCCTGCTGTCCTGCTGTCCTGCAACTGCCGCTTGTGGGAGGAGATTGGTCAGGGTCGAACGTGATGCGTGCTGCTTCCCTTGTTCTGTTTATGTTTACTACAGTATGTAGCTATTGTATTTGATATGGACTTCCTATCCTAGCATCCATTGATAAATTCGTCACCTTTTTCAATCTCTCGGCATCTTTGAGAAATTTAGATGCGTTATTATTGCAGCATAAGCATGGTTTCTTATATTTTATATAACTCATGCAAAAGATACATGATAAAGCTCAGAAATGAGTATCAATTAAGTGCAATAAACTAAAATTTACAAGTTTATAATATCTTTATCTTTATACCAAAAAAATTCCAATATATAAGATGGAGGATATAATAATGGAACAAAACTAGTACGTAATAGTTTTACGTTGTACATGAAATTATGTCTAGTCGAGAGACATCTAATAAAATTAGAACGACACACAAAACAATACCTCCCTTTCCTAGTTTCCTCATCCATCAATTTTACCTCCACCCCACCCATTCACCCTTGAGATAACTTCAACCAAATAACACAAAATTGCATAAATACATTATTATTAGCTTCTTAGTTATCATCATGCAAAATAGGGTTAATTAATTAATTAATTAATATTTGTTGTTTAAGGAGAATCCATTCATCCTTCTTTGCTTTGATCTCTTGCCATCTCTCAGCTCAGCTTCCAAATCCTCAAGGCTCCAATCCCTTCTTAATCCACCACTCCTCACTAACTTCGGCTCGTGTGTAAGATCATCGCCCTCACCTCCGTATGACAAAGCTCCTGTGCTTCCATACCTACGGTGATGAGCCTTGAACTTCTTAGGAGTTGCACCACCTACCATTGATTTAACCTTTTTGTCGCGAGGGGATGCCATAAGTTTTCCTGACCAATTCCTTTCCGCCAAAATTTTGTGACTAAATAGGCTTGATATGTTCTTAGGAGTGCTAGGTTTATCATCATGGCTTATTAGTCTCTTGCTAAGGTCTTGATCTGAGTCCGTTCTATGAAGAACATGGCAACAATTGAGACTCATTTTCTTCCCCTTTTTATTCTATCTTATGATATTATTCTATAAATATTTACATGTACTAGTTGAAGACTAAGGTATAATGGGTGGGAGAAATTTGAAAAAAAAGAATAGGAAAAGAGAAGGAAAAAAAATTAATAGATGAAGGAAAATCATTTTTTGGAGTAAAAGAAGGTAAATATTTTAAGGTTTTGAGATGAAATTTAGGAAAACCAGCCAAAAAAATCTATGTTTGGATAACATTTGGTTTTTACTAATGTTATTTATGTAGTTAAATTGCCGGCAAGTAAGCTAAACCAGTGGTAATGTGTGTTTATTAACTGCCTTTGTTAGCAAAGCTAAAATCAATGTTATGCTAATAGCAATTACATATATACTTGCAAAGTTATGTTATATATTGATTACATTCGACTTATTTTGTTTGAAATTATCGTATAAGAAGATATACTAGTTGAAATTAATTTGCCTATAGTAAAGTTACTTGTGTGTGAAATAGTTTGAAAACCCAAAAAGTGTTTAATACAGAGTACTTCGTAGTTAAGAAAAACTCCAAAACATCAAAAGCGTGTCTTTATCAGTAACACACTAACACATAAAAATTCCGAAAATTAACAAAATCTGTCATTTTTACTCCTCTTTATTTACCCAAATGTAACAACCAAATTTTCTTGAACTTAATGATCAGGGGCCCAGAAATACGAAACTCCACATGGGTGGGTATGATGATGATGAATCATGATCCATCGATCTCAACTAGTAAGTAGTAAAGAAATTCTTCAACGGTCCTAAAAATTTTACCTAATTTAACCTAGACAAATTTTGTTGATTAGCTTAGAGTTAGTGCTTATGAAAACAAACCTTTAAGGACAAAGGTCATTATAATTGTGACGTGCCTATAAATTTGAGACACAAATTGCTAAGAGATTACAAAATCATAAGAAAGTTAAGAAACCTCATGGCTCAATTGTAAAGAAATGCCCTAAATTGATACCATCACTTCTCCAACATGAAAAGTGGTGTGAGGTTAGATATACACTTAACTACTTATCCCTTTGTCTCGAGGTAATAGGCAATTGTTAACCTTTTTCTTTGATGATGTTTATATACTCACACCTTTATGTTTATTCGATTTTGAGGTATTTCATATGAATAAAGATAAATTTGACTGTATCAATCATTAAATTATAGAGTATGTGAAAAAGGCATAATTATGCATAATCTTGAAAGATTCGTCTCAATGTGTATTATTAATTACATCTAAAAATTATTCAATGGTGAAAATGGGAAAGCTATGTGATGTCAAATGAGACAAACAAATTAATTATATACTAAATTGACAATTTGAAAAACAAGTTAAAAAAAATTAAAAAAAAAAGACAGAGAGAGAGAGAGAGATATTCTTATACTAATAATTGGTTCATATGTATTTAGACAATGCAAATCTAATACTCTATAATAAAATTTCAGGGATAAAATTATCATCACACTATTCATAAATGTGATTCTTCCAAAATTTAGTTGGGTGGCAAATGTGCGCATCAATTAGTCATGTCTAGAGAGTTTTTTTTTTTTTTCTTGTTAATCGGGGTATAAATGTTCATACACTATTCTTAAGAATTAAAAAAACGGTAAATAACATTAACGAGGACAAATAAGTAAATCAATATTTTAAAGGGTATGTATAATTGTCCAACTACTATTCATCAGTGTACGTAATAAAATCATTATACCACACAAAGAAAAATTTAGCGGCAATTAATAACATCATATAATTGTGGCATATAAATAAACAAATACTTTAGAGATAAAATTATCCTCACACTATTCATAAGTGTTTTCTTATACTCTCTAAAAGGTAGGGATATGAAATAAATATAGAGATGCTGGGATTGTTCAGTAAACAACCACCTCTCCTATGACTTTTGGATGTAGTCAAACAACCAAAATTGTGTTTGGTTATCTGGCTTCTCTGCGAGCAAACCTTTTCGCCAAAAGCCACTTTTTTGTATTGGTTGTTTCCTTTTAACACTTTTAATCCCTATAACCGGCAACCAATAACCAGTGTTCTTAGACATAAATATATTACTACCTCCGATTTTTATTATTTGCAACTTTGGAGTATTATTTATGAATAATAAAAATTGGAGGTAGTATTAGACATTAGGTAAACTTTAATTATAAAAAGTCAATACAAACAATTGGTCAAATCAGCCAAGAGATATACGTAATACAAAATAACTAACAAAGTAATAACCAATTGTCAAATAAAACCTTTATAAAGCACCATGTCTTAAATTATCAAACAAAGTTGAGTAGAAGAACGTACAATATATCTAATGTAGGAGTAATGGAGCTGTCGGTAACATAAGAGAAAAAATCCAATTATTTCAATATTTTATTACGAGTACTACACTATTGAAAACTGCCATGCATGAGTACATTCTTTTATAGCACGTGCGTATTATTTATATATCACCCCATTTTTCGTCTCATCTTCTTTTCCTTCCATATATGGCTACCATGCACACACGTAACATAATTCATCAACGTAAATTCTTCATCAACCTTTTATATCTTTTAAACACATTGATAAGATATTCAAGTCAATAATTATACAATCAAACGATATGATATGATCCTGTCGAGAAGACATGATATGAGAACAAATAATTTGGATGTATAATACGCGATTACTCTTATTAATCAAATTGATGAAGAATTGAATTTAATGAGATCTAGTTTTATAAACAACGTAACGGGTTTATAAGTAAGGGGCATATCTATGTGACAGCCATGGAATAAGATTCATAGAAGATTAGTGCTGGCCGCTCATTAATATATATTGTTAATTAGTCATTATTATTCCATTGTGTGATATTAGGAAGGACAAACAAAGGTCCCAATTATTATACAATCATTGTTGATACATGGAAATTAAATGGACGAAAAACTTTTGTATATACCCGGTTTACACTAATATTAGTGTACATCGAGTACTAACTGTATAAGGATAACTTTTAGCTAATTTTAGGGTAATATTTTGCCTTTTGGGGGGTAACTTTAAACATAATACAGGATCTTTTACCAAAATAGCTAATTTGATAAAAGTATTTAATTTGTCAAAACGGCTAATTATAAAATTTAATTCCCAAACTAGCTAAATTTATTGATTTAAAAGGATATTATTTATTTTTTATATTCCTTTGAACCCGTTCATTAACTTTATTTTTATTTTTTTATTTTTTTTGGTTTTATTTAAAAAGAATACGGAGTAGTTTTTTTAGTTTTGATTTTATTTAAATTCTAAGGCCACAGTTTAAAATATCCCATTAATTTGAACAAAAACAATCAACATAATATATATGCAACAATTCTCTATTTTTAAAAAAGTCACACAACCACTCAAAAAAATGATCCAAACTTCCAATCAACAAAAGAAAAAAAAAAATACAACTATTTTTTTAACACATAAAGATAGAAATAAATATATGTAAGTTTGATTTATCATACACATTAAACAAAAAAATATTCATACTAGGCGACATTAACAAAGAGTATACAATTAATAGACATGAAAAAGATGAACAATACTTAAAATCTTTTATCGTTGTATAAATTTACGGTAGTCTCGATAGAACAATACTACTTGAAATTCCAAATTTTTGTGATTGATATAGATGAAAAATTAGTGCTTTTAATTTAATTTAATTTTTTTATCGAGTCTGCAATTATTTACGTTATTTGTAGTTTTGTATATTGCTTAAAATTTTCAACTTAAAAAAAAAAAACATTAAGTAAATAAAAATAAAACCAAAAAAACAAAGTTAAAAAAAATTGAACCAAACCGGCTCAAAGGAAATAATAAATAGATAAATTCCATCTAAGTTAATAAATTAGTTAGTTTGGGAATTAAAATTTATAATTAGCCGGTTTGGTAAATACTTTTTGTCAAACTAGCCGTTTTGGTAAAAGATCCCATAATACAATTTTTTATATAAATAGACAACAAGAACAGTTTTATAAAGGTAATTTAATAACATTCACTCACAAATAATTGACTTTTAGTCATTTAAAATGTGATTTTTTACTAAGCATAGACAATTTTTAGTTGTATCGGGTTAATTGGGGTAACTTTTATTCATTTCAGGGGTAACTTTTGATCACTTTAGGCTATCATTATAATAGATGTACATACAATAATTATTGTACATTCGATTTTTTAAAAAGTTTGTGGTAAATCAAATAACATAAAGCATATCCTTTGGGTAAATACAAGTTCATCTCCGAGATACACAATTATTGTTTATTACATGATATTTTCGTAAATAAATCAATAACTTTTTCAATAAAAGTTGGTCTCACAGTGATGATGAATGGATAAACCTAAGTTATTGATTTATTTACCAAATGTCATGTGATAAACAATATTTGTTTATCAGGTTAACTAAGGCTTCCTCCATATCCTTTGTTCAACCAAAGGACAACTAATAATAAAAAAAATTTACAAAAAAATATTAATAAAGGTGTTATTAATAAAGGTATTAATTTAAAATAAGTTAAAGTTTCCTGCTGTAAAAAAAAAAAAAAAAAGGTTACAAGTTTAATTACAACAATGGCTTAACTCTATCTGAAAGGGAAATGTAGATTGGGGTCGGGAAGGGTGAGGGTTTTAACCCTGAGACGTGGCCTTATTAGAAGTTCATAATCCTACTAGTATATCCCGTCAATATGATCAATGACATACAACCATTCAATAGGTTTTCGTTGAGACATGATATAATATATAGCCGTAAAATGTATAGATGTATGCAGTGTTATCCTTAAATAATTAAAAAAAATATAGATAAATAAATAAATAAAAACTAGTGAATATAATGACATCTCATCCTAAAAACAACGTGGGATATACATGTACCTATGTTTGAAGCCTTGGGAAAAGGATTCTTACAAAATTGTTGGTCATTCATATTTGTATTGATTATTTCTGAAATAATGGTCCTAGAGTGACCAGTTATTTAATATACCATAATCAGGAAATATGGTATAAACAAAGGTCCCCATAATTGGACAATTGTTGATGGAAATGGACATGGGTTTTTGTAATTTTGTTGGTGGAAATTTTGGATCTACAGATGATTGGAGTCTGTTTTGAGGTTACACTATAATATATTGCTTATTACATTGTTTCCTTAACATTGGAGTAAAAGTAATGGCATGTATACTAAAAAAAAAATATCAATTACAAAGTATGAAATAAGGT